ATTTTTAAATAAGTAATTTTTGTTTTTATATTATTTTTTTAATTTCCCTTCTCGCTCTCCATTGATTACATGTTACTTGTCATCTAATTTGCATTTCTTCCTAACTAACTATATACTCTATTTGCATTAAATTCAATTTCAACATTAAGTTCTAACCCAGCGTTCAATTTGTGAGAGTGTCATTGTTGTTATTGTAATTTTTGCGTACGAATTTGTATAAATAATTGCGTTGGAATATCCAATATATCTAATCCATACATAAATGTGTAAACCTAATTCCATTAAAAATTATATACATATATCGGTCTATATAACAGATAACTCACCCACAACACATAATACGTAACATAACTACTTATACTTATACATACATACAAACTATGAATATTGCAAAATGTTTTTTGAGATGTGTGTTTTGCTCTACTTCCTTTATATATACACACATACCACAAATTGATATTGTATTGATGAACGAGTTAATGTTTTTTGACTGTGTGTTTTTTCTCTACTTTTTTTCATATACTCGTACTCGTTTACCTACATAAATCAATCATATGCATATCTATATGTATACCTGTAATCAAATCAAATCCAAACAAAATCGTTATATTTAATGCGGATCAGCAGATATACAAACTATTATCCTGGTACAAACCTTCATAACTTTTATTGCGATTAACTTTCACCATTTTTTTCTCAATAAATATTTAAAAGCATTTTTCTATATAAAAATTATGCATTTAACCAAATTCTGCAATAGCTTTAGTTTAACCTATTTATGTACATATGTTTGCGTGAAGTTTGCTTTCTACTTAGCTGAGCTCAACCACTGTTCAAGACAAACACGTTATGGCTTAAATTTATGTTTTGCGAAAAAATCACCCGATAATTTAACAGATCGAACAATGAACACTCTTTTCGTAGCTTTGAACTTTTAGAGGATTTCGCTTCACTGTTCTTTCGCAAAATTCATATTTATGTTGAAGCTAATATATTTCGATATACCTCATAGAATTTATTAGAACACAATTTCGGGAAGAGACAAACTCAATCAGTCTGCTCTACACAGTTTTAAAATCTTTTACTAGTACGTGATGTTACAGAAGGTGTCTTATCTTAAATAAATGGGGCTTGAATAGAGTGTTGAAAACTCCGTAACAAATATAAAGAAATAGACTTTAAAGCTTGTTATAAATAAGAGACTAATGGGAGAACTCACTAGCTTTATTTACAATATATGTATATGCTGTCAACAAGAAGGGTGTAAGTAACAACCCACAGAACTTGTACGATAAAAGTAAAAAAGCAGAGGGAGCCGAAGAATATGTCCCATCTCATCCGGCTGATGGCTGGGCATTCGCAAAGATAATGTTCTTGCTTTGCATTCCGCCGAATTCACTTTTTCCAGCTGGCATAACTTAAGGGCGGAGATACCCATAGTACCGTGAAAAAAGGTAAAATTCTTTCCAATTTTACTATGGAAGAATAAAAACAGATCACATCCGATATTTTGCATATATATTAAGAGGTATTATTCAACTATAAAATAAAATTTATTTTATGTAAAAAAAAAAACACAATGGCGGAAATATCAACGATCCCGCTGATTAACATTTTTTTCGGCTGTCAACTTCCTGGCTATGCTGAAACGAAAAAGTTATTTTTTTTTAATCTTGTAAAGTGCGTAGTAGAGGGGTTTTTAGAATTTCGAAAAATTTGGTATGTAGGCCAGGATTTTGTAAAAAGTACCATTTGTACCTGTGTTTTTCGACATCAAAATAGTTAAACAACTGTCAAAATGCCTTTTTTCTCAGAAAAGTGCGTCCTATCACGCACTTGAGTATAAATGATTATTTTGACAGCCGCATGAAAAAAGTTAGTTTCGAGTTAACGAGCCTCAAAGTTCTCCGGTTATATAGACCGCAGCATGAAGTACAATGGTTCTAGAGCCTATTTCTTCGAAAATATTCGGACTAAACCAATCAAACTTCGGGACTATATTTAATAGTTTTTCAATTGATTAGAAAGAAAAAAAATTTTTTTTTTGAAAATTCTAAAGGTAGCTTAATGCAGTGACTCAGTATTGGCACTACAGTGCGCCTTAATTGCCGCTTTGCTATGCACTAGAAAGTTTAGGGATTTGCTGGTTGAAATACACTTAGCACTTTCGGTTATTCCCACAATTTGCGCCTGAAAAAGTGAATTGTAGTCATTTAGTTATAAACTACTTTCTGTGAATAGATTAAGAAACACGCTTCAGTTTCTGTTTATCCCTTTGATTCATTTTCGAAATTGGAACAGTACGCCGACCACAGAACCAATAAACCACTCTCCTCCTAGGCCATCCTTTCTCGATCACATTGTCAATTTAGCCCGAGTTCATTAAGGAATTATATACAGTTAGAAGTCCGAAAAAAAAACAAATTTTTCAAATTTTTTTTCGGAGAAAAGTTTTAAACTAAAATTTGTACACACATTATAGTATCTTTTAGCTGTAACTTTTAAGCCTTAGTATTAGTAAAAAATATATATTTGGAGAAGAACTACAGCTGATCTCCGAGAGATCCTTTCAGAAAAGACCTTTTGCGGTGACCACTATATCTCTAACGATCTGAAACCAGTAAAATTAAAAGAACAAAAAAGATTTCATTAAAATAATTAATTGGAATAATAAGCAAAATATTTTTTTTTGACAAAATGGCGGTTTCTAACAAAACAATCGATTTTTGAACAACCTTTCTGACTTAAATTGTTCATAAAAAATATTTTTTGATTAAATTTTTTAAATTAATTACCAAAAATATATATTTTTCTTTTCTCGTGTTAAAAGTTAAAACTAATCGGTTTAGCCGTTTTCGAGTTTGACATTGAAAATACCATTTTGAGAAAAAACGCGTTTAAAGTTTGGAATGCACTTCTAAGCATTCTGCAAATTTGCGTGTAAATTTGAAACTATTCTTCGAAACTATATTTCTGTGTGTATTCTTAGATATATGTACATTCAGAAAATAAATTTAAAAATCAATATTTTGATGTTACTATCATTATTTTTCGATCTGAGTAGTTATAATATATATGTAAACTGACTTGTAACCGATCTGAGTGCATAACGATTATTATTTTCTAAGGTTTGCTCGCAATTTTAGTGGTAAAGTATGAAGAGCCGTAAGGAACAGCAACCTTCTTCAGGGATATTGACTAATTTTAGCAGATTTTTTAATTTAATGTTAAATTAATTTATCATAAAAAAGCTCATAATTCAATTTTGCATGCATTAAGTGTTTATACTAAAATTTGCAGTTAAACACTTACATATATATAATGGAAATAAAACTTTGTGACAATTTCAATCAGACCTCGTAAATTGCTCGTTTTATAATCACCTAAGTTTGATGTGTCTGACTTTCCTTAGGGGGTGGGTGGAAATCAGACATCAATACAAAATGTCAATATATTCTCTCTTGAATTCGCTGATAGAAGCTAACGTATCAAAAGGATATATGTACATACATGCATAAATAATGAGAGAGTTGACAGGATCTGTTTTGTTAAGTAAAATTTGAAACTTTCAAAATATATGTATACAAAACAAAATTTTCCAAAAACTATATATTGTTCAAAACAGTTTATTTCGTTTATAGATTTGCTTAACTAAAGTTTGAAAACAAAGATATTCCTGATCTGAAGCTTCCTTCCACTTTTTGTAAAATATCATGAAGTTAATCGACTGTCAACACGGTAGTCTCTCTCAGCATATATGTATAGTTCGAAATTTGCTTCTCTCCAGAAGCAGCTGGTATGAATAAGACTGCATACATATGTACTTGTATATTGCCAAACTAAGCCTTTCTCCGATGAGCATTTACGATCTCTGATTTAAACCTTCAATGACACTCTAAATCCCATACTTTTTATATTTTGCTTCAACAATAATTATGTTCTATATATTTTTTAATAATTAAGAGTTAAAATTTGAAGTATATTCATTATTATTTATGAGTATGTACACTGAGTTCTCTTTGTGGCTTAAATATATATTTTTGAACACACGCACTAAGTTTTTGGTTCGTATGTTGAAAGTATTTCATAAATAAAAAAAATGCGAGTATCTCAAATTACACCAAACAAAAAATTAACAAAAAGTTTATAACACACCACTGTCGCTTCTACTCAAATTTTACTCTCTCATTTTCCTTTTCAAAATTTTTCTCTCAACTATGTACATTTTATATAAATTGGTAAAATCGCCTAAAATGCTTTAAAAAAAAAAATAATAATAATAAATATGCAAATGCAATAACAAACTAAATCACGCATTGACGTAAACGTAAAACACGCCACATAACTGCAGTCGCCCAGCGTTTTGTAGAAGAGATGTTGTGGTCGCATCGCCCACCACAAGATAGGCGATCACGCTACGCACAAATTCACATGTCAATTCTTAAAGCCAAATAATGTCAAAACATAAATGTCAAATGAGCGCACAGCATAATTGCAAAGAATTCACCATGCGTAAACATAAAAAACTCACCTCACTGAACAAGAGCATATAATTGTATAACACATATTTACCAAAGAGAGAATCAATGATGGTTATATGAAATGATTTATATTGTAACGGTTTTAAACATTTGAGCGCAAACAAACGTAACGTAAACGTGGTTAACGTAAATGTAGCCGCTGCCAGCCGCTTTGGTAAGTAGATTAGTGTCACCACACAAGTTGTCGAACGCCGCTTAAGCAACGTACAAGTGTCAAACACGTTCGAAAACATCGAAAATTTTATTTTTTTCTTTTATTTCAAAAAAACCAAAAATAATTCAAAAAAATTAGAATTAAGAAAAAAATTAAAAAAATAGACAAGTATTTAAAAAAAAAAAATTTTTTTTTTTTGGTAAAAAATACAAAAAATAAAAACTCTGATTTGCTGCTGGGTAATACTGGTATTGCGTATACATAAATAATTTTTTACAATTCACTTTCTTTATTACATAATTTACTTCTATTTTTGCAAATATTTGTACGTTTTTGGCGAAATATTTGATTTTTTCTACTTCGTAATTCACAGATACCACCAAATACACGCGTACGATTGCAACTTGAGTCAAAAGTATTATACGGTCAATTTTAACGCCTTTGCCGAGTAAAATTCTCAAAATGCTAACGAAAATCGTAAAACCAGTAAAATACCGTTAACGTAACTAAGTAACAAACACAAACGATCACTACTCACCACACGATACTAACAGTACAACGTTTTGCGAGTCGCTCCTCTCTGCCACTCACTCTCTGTCTCGCTTTAAATGCGCGCTTAATTCATTGCAAGTATTTACCACAACTACTCTGGTTGCACGTCTCTCGAATTGGCCGCTTCTTCTTCTTCTTCTATATACTTACTTTCACTCACTTATCGTTTATTTGTAAATAAATAGAAGGTAAAGAAAATTGTTAAAATTTTCTCATTTCGCACGCCTGCCAAATACACCGCTTTTCTAGTGCTAACTCTATATATTTGCTGCATAAAAATTTTAATCTTACCATTTTATAGTAATTATTGAAAAGTAAAAAAATTCAAAAAAAAAAAACAATATAAATGCATGTAAATTTATAAATATTGGAAAGACACTCGTTCAGCTCAAACACATAAATATTTCTAGTTAAATTTTTGTAAATTTTCTACTCGTAGCCGTTGTAAAATATTATAACCTCACTTTCTCGGCAGGCTTTTTTGGCGCTTTGTCGTTACACCGTACATCGTAATGCATATCTTGTAACTCCTTTGCGTTTTTCTTTGGCTTACGCAGTCCTTTTGCATACCTTATTATATAAATAAAATGTCTGCCTCACTCTCTCTCTATATCTCTCACTCCGCCTCTCTATCCACGCTGTACGAAGCTGTTTTCTTCTTATTCCTTTATTTATACTTTTTACTTGTGATTCCATTACGATTTTATACATTTTTGTTAGAACTTCGATTTCTCATCAGTAAATCAGTAAAAATTCTAATAACTAGATGCATATAGCATACATATGTACATGTGTATATGTACTATATAATACATATGTATATTGTGCGAGAAAATCATACATGGCCATACATATGTATGTGTACGTAATATATTTGAAATAAAATCACATTTTTAGCTAATTAAATATAAATCACATAAATTTTATTAGGGTGAGTTCACATAAAATGAAATGAAAATGGTGTGGTGAAAAAAAAGTGAGAGAGAGTAAAACTTACTCCAATAATTTTCCGTTTGCTTTTAAAATTTTTGAAAATTTATTAATGTAAAACTTTTGTATTCTAAAGTTATGCAAACTCACCCTAATTTGCATTGAAAACATAATAGAAAATGTACACCTTGTTGAAATTGATTCGAAGTATTCTAAAATAAAGTTAACAATAAGGTCACCGCTGACAGATTATTTCTGCCTTAACAAGTGAAAAGATTGGCCCAAATTTTGTCTTCGTCTTACAAAAAAAAATTAAGACCTTGAGGTGAATAACTAGATATACAGATAAAATTAAGACCTTGAGGTGAACAGGTGAGGTAATAGATAGATAAATAGACTACAAAAAAAAAATGAGGTTTTGCATTGCGACTTATGGTCTATTGTACCCCCTCCTATATCACGTCTTATCAGAAAAGTCGACCACTCTGAACAATTCCAGCAGCTTGCTGGGCGTAATGGAGGTCATGTGATTCCTGTCCACGTAGATAGATCCAAGGGACTTGAGCCCGCATCTACAAATTGCTGGGTAATTTAGAACCAGGTGTTCTGCAGTTTCCGGTTCCATGTCGCACAACCAGCAGTTTGCACAGGAAGCTATGTCCATCTTGAACAAATTTCGCAGTATAGAGTGCGACAAGGCGACGAAATTTGTTTCGGGGGAGGTTGATCATATCTCTAAACCTTGCAAGGTTGTATCCTCCTAATAGCAACTTGTCATGGCGCATTTCCTGCCAGTGCCATTTTTACTCTCTCAATGCATGCTTCTGGCCATATCATACTTTAAGCAGCCAGCTCATGTGAGCAACTCAAGGAGTTCATTTACTACTAGACACCATAGTAGGCTCTTGTAGACAGCCCCTCGCATTACCAAGAATAATGTTTTTCTTTCCCAAAGTGGATTCAGAACAATCGGACTACATTTTCAGGGTCCATAATCATTTTACTGATCCTTACTATAGCCTGTGGTTTTCTGTAGACCAAAACTGGCCGATTCCTTCCTTCAGACAGTCCTATCGTTAATAGTACAGGCCCGAATTAATGGTTTGGCCTTGGGGAAACAGCTTATGGTAGAATAGTTTCTGCCAACGCCCCCCAAACACATACGAAAACCTTCCTGAGTGTCAATATTCCCCCGGCCATCGATATCGCCAGCTCAGCAAAATTCGTCCACAATCGTTTTCGCCCCGACGTTGTCGTAACGACTTCTCTTCAACACCAGCAACTAACCGCTTCAGATATGGATGGTTTCGTTGCGACATCACAGCGATTCGAAGACGAAATTTCCATCCAAGAGGTTTTTTGCGTTAATTCGCACGGCTTCCATACATCTCTTTAAAAAATAACGAAAGCACTAACTAAAAACTCTTCACGTTCCCAAAATAGAAATCGAAATTATTTGTCTTTAGATAACCTATAACAATTTCAGCAAGGTCTGCATACATTTTATAGCAATGTATCTAAATTCGAGTAGAGAACTCATACCTTGCAATCTCTTACTTTACCACGTGTCTAATAGCATTACTTTTATTTTCCCCAAAACGTACATGCATGAAAAAAAATGTAACTTCAATAAAAAAATTAGATGGGGTCGAGGTCCTCGCCACGGATCGTTAGCCGGTCAGCATCCCACCATTATCGATTATCGGACGGGATACATAAGGTCCCATCTTCGGTCACCATCTGGCCGTGTGAGATGACTGATATGTCACCGACTGGATTCCTACTCAATCAACAGCAATCACAACAACAACATCCAGCACACCAACAACAATATGCCGGCTATTCAACATCATCGGGCGCACACTCGAGCAGTCACAGCCACAGCAGCAGCTCAACGACACGTGCGCCACCGATTGGCAGTGGTGGCGGCGGTGTTGGCGGTCGTCTATTCCCCTACTTCGGTGGTGAGCACGAACGAGAGCGTAAAAAATCCGAAACGTCATTCTTCAATTTGGGCTTTCGTCGCAAATCGACTGTGGTCTATTACGCTTCCACTGATTAAAGGGGTGTGCTGGGCATAAGCGTTGCTGTGCAGGCACAACGACGACGCCGTGACTTGTTGACACACAATCATAGAAAGTAAGCTTAGGTGGCGCTTGTGCAGTGTTGCTGAGCAAATAATGAATTTAAGATAACGAAAATGAGGTTTGAATTTCAAAAACGAAATACGAGTATAAGAATTTATGCAATTAACAGCAAAAAAAAAACAAAAACAAACAGAAAAACAAAAATTTTAAAATTTATATTAGTTAATAAATGTGTATGTTGAATAATTATTAAAAATAATGCATTATTTTTATGTAATCCATGTAATCAACACATAAACACTTGGGAGCGCATGGAAAAATGTTTAGACGAATTAGTGCTGCGGTCTAAATATTAATACTTATAATGTAATTAATCAGAATACATCACCTTTAAGGTGAACGTACACACATACAACAATAAAGAATTGCACCTGCACACATACACATAAACACATATAATATAAATACGTATCTGAACCACATATTTGTGGCCACAAGTCATGAGGTGAAGCTGGAAAAATATATTTCTATGAAAAATTTTGCAAAATTTTAAACTTATTTCACTAAAATTTCCAAATTTAAATTTAAATTACTTTTTAAAATAATTTCTCAAAATTTTTTCGAAAAAATGAGAATTTAGCACTATAGACTTGAGACCACAGTTATGCATAAAAAAACTAAGAAAAACATTAAAAACAAGTCGAAAATTGATTCTGCTCAATTGATAATCTCGTAGAGAAAAAACAAGAATAAATTATATTTACTAAACAATTTTAAAACACTTGCATATGCCATTGTATAGCAGTTTTACTAACGTTTCAATTGCGACAAACGTATTCATTTAAATGGATTTTAATGAAAAATATGTCTATAAGATATTTAATAAAGCAAAAAATATAATTATAATACAGTTGTTATTTCTATGCGTTGAAAAAATATAAAAAAATCTGAAATTTTTACTGAGAACTAACTGAACCCCATTATTATAATCCTAACTCCAAAAGAGAGCGCATATAGTAACGAAAAAGACGAAGTGTGGCACGAAGATTGCTAAAAAACGACTGAGATCACATAACGATAGTCGACATCAAGCCTCAAGATATATATTTTTTTTCCATAAAACTATTCATAGTGTCCCAAAATTAACGCAAAATTGAAATTAAATATACATATATATGTAATGATAGAACTCCCACGACAGTTTGAAGCGCGTTCAAATCTGATAGAATCTGACTTTACTTGAAATAATAACCAGAAAGGTGTAACATTATATTTTTGACTGCCTTCACATGACAAGTTGGCTGTCTGATTACCAGCCTAGGACTTTAGAAGGTCGATTCCGATACCATCGGAACTAATATTCTCTCACTCTATTGGTTTCTCTCTGAACCACCCCGTGCATCTGCTGAAGTTCATAAGTAGGAAATGTTTTATTTACGCAACTTCCGAGATGCCATCAAGAAACACTCGGCCGATAGTTTCGATTCTTACAAAGCCTTGCATTCGCATAGATGTTTTACAGTTTCCTCTTCTCTACCTCTCCTTCTACTTCTTGTCAGTTTCTACAATAGTCGTTATAAGGCGTTCCAAGTCTGCTTGCATGTCTGCCAATTAAACGTTCACTTGTAAAGTAATACCTGACCTGATTTTGAAGAGCTTGGAAAAAATGCGAGATATTTCTTTCAATTATATATCTACTATAATTATTGATTCTATGCAAAGTTCTTTAAGAGGTTATATACAGTTAGAAGGCCGAAAAATGGCGATTATTCCAGATGTTTTTCTGAGAAAACTTTTAACTGTATGTTATTTATGAAGCTCGAGACTAATCGAAATGAAAATTCTAACTGTATACAACCCTTTAACTGCATTGCAAAGAGATTTCGTGGCACTTTATCTTTATTTCAGCTTTCCCCAGGTCCATCTTAAGCCATTCACTTGTCTAAAAAATTCTATTAGAGGCAAGTAATGTAGTTCCATCTCCATAAATAGGCAAATTTCAAAATCTGATGCCCAATTGTTCCTTAAATAATTCAAAACGATATAGCAGACAGTTGTGGGAATAGTAAATATTATACAGCAGCATAACTTGAGCAAAAAATACGCCACTTTAGAACTGATTTTATTTAATTGTAGACCTATTCAAGCTGATATAGAGATCGAATTCGCAGAAGGTCAAAAATCCCAGAAGGCAAAATATAATTAGTAAAATATTAAAATATATACCTGTAAGTAATGTATACTTTTTTAAAACAATAATGATTTTCCACGCAAAATTGATCACAAAAGTGTGCGACAATACGAACTTGTTTGTTGTTAATATCGATTAATCGATATACATATTGTTGTTAACTCATGAAAATTCGTTAAAGTAGTAAGGTTTATTTTTTCCTATGGGTTTATATATAATTATGTATGTAAGTGAGGAGGTGTAATCGTATAGTTGCATATTAATTAACTGTACTTGTATTGTCAACACGTATTTATAACTAAAGAGTACATTTTAAAAATAGCGAAGCAGTAAATATGTGAGAAAATTGTTCAATTACAAAAACAAATATATAATGTTATAAGAAATATGTAAAAAATATAAAGTGAATAACGTCGATAATAAATAATAACTAAATGGAAAGTTTAATGCTGTTTTTTCATAAAAGAAGGTCAAAATGAATTGTTAGACCAGAGGGAGATGGTATAATTTTTTACAGTTTCCGATGTGGCGAGAAAAAGGATTATGCTGGAGGAAGATACATACGAAATATTAACTTCGGTTGTACTAAAGCTAAAAATACCCTTCACACAAATATAATATATTCCATACAAGAAGTTGTTGGGAACCGTTATGGCCTATGTATATGCTATAGAAGTCCGATCTGCACAATTTGTTCGAAGATTGTACTGTTGAACAATAATAGAAGTCAAATTTAGTGAAGATACTTTGCCCAACACGAAGCGCTCCATTAAAAGACCTCATTTACTTTGATATCGGCGATTCTCAAAAATTTAAAGACTAAAGGTAAAAAATTCTGTGCTTATAACGCTTTTATTTAGTCGTAGGTTACAATACCACAATAGCTGGTTCTTCGATTTTTTATAATAATATATAATAATACCCAACGATTACCCTCCTCCCGCCCAACCGACGCGCGGGGCGCAATCCGCGAACGAGCGGAATTAGCCGAGTCATAAAAGGCAAGAGGGTTTTAAGCGTCGCGGTCTTAAGCTGCTCAGCTACAGAAACAAAAATTTCAACAGCCAAAATTAAGAATTAGATTAAAGTTTATTTAGTTATTTTAAAGTTAGAAACTATTGAAAACTAACGATCAATTTAAAAGACTTATTTTAAACAACCAACGAATGTTATTTTAATTAAATAGAAACAACAAATCATGACTCTATTTGAACCATGTCGCTCTTATCACTTTTTATAAGCTCAAATTTAGTAACCGTTAATTTCTAACCCACATGTAATGGTCGACATATAGTAATTAACACTTGTGCGAAATTTTGAGAAATATCACCGCCTTTGTAAATGCCATAATAAGCATAGACAACCTTGAGAAAAACGTTTCATTTGAGAAAAAATATTCATAAATTCAAAAGCAAATAAATTTTTTAATTAAAATTCAAAAACGCTTTAAAAATATTAAAAAAAATACATATATTATAAATCAAAATTTCGCCAAATTTATAAACAAATTATATGGATATATAAGCGGAATACGAAAGCATATCTAATTTGAGAATTGAACGAGAAAACGAAATACGATTTTTGTGCAGTTTCTTTGGTGTTGTTGTTTTGAGCGTTTTTTCCTGTATTGTGTTTAAAACTATTGTTACAAAAAAATCAATGAAAAATATTTTTTTTTTAACAGCAGAGCAGCTTCAACGAAAAGAAGAAAACAAATTGCAAATTTTCCTTTTAAAAATACTATAACTATCTCTAATCCTATTAATATTTTTTTCAAATCCTCTACGCCTCGGCGGCAAAGCAATTGATGTTCAAATCAAAATAGCGCACGAGAACTTTAACTAAACTACATACACCAACGTTTTTCAAGCGTCTTTATTTAAGCATTTAATTTTATAGAACAAAACTACAATTAACAATCAACGTTTGTGACAACCGCTTTGGAAGAGATTTATTTTAAGAAGAACAAAATGAATAAGTACGGTAAGTGTTTTTATATTCTACGTTCATAGTTTATATTGCCTCACGGCGGAATGATTAAATGCAATTTTGAGGTTATGTGACAGTGAATAATCTCAACAATTCATAATTTAATATTTTGGTAGTAAATGTGTAACGTAAAGGTAAAACAATATTTGTTTTCAAACGGTGATTGTTTCAGTAACGATTTATTTAATGGAAAAAACAGCAATTTGTCAAATTGGTTTTAATTTTATGGATAAAATTTTGTCATTTATTTTTATGAATGAAAAATATATTTTACAAACATTATAGAGCATTAATGAGTTTTTGATCAGTAACTGAATAGATTGTAAAACGGTTAAAATTACCAAAATTCAAACAAGAAATCAGAAACACATTTAAAAGTATATGTCCCATATCTGACATGGATTAAATAATATGATCGTAAGCAAAACTACCTCAAGTAACATAAACGTATACTGAAAACTTACGTGAGCTCAAGCGGAAGTGATGACTGCCAGTCGCCAAGTTTTGACAATTAATTCGGTTTTTTAAATTTCTAGTTATTTTATAACAATTATATTTTTTAAACACAACTGCCTTGAAAAAGCACTGTCTAAGTTTGATTTGTCTGAAAACAGTAAAGTTGGTAAAAGTAAAATTATATACACATTTGTATGTATAAATATAAAATTCAAAAGTCGTGTAATTTGTATTATTTGAATTATTCGTTATTTAAAAAACGCAATTGTGAGTGAAAATTTTTTATCGCATTATAGTTTTCTATTAATATTATTTGTGTACATCACAACTAAAAACAAAAAATGTCTAATTTCTTTATAAAACTGTGAGCTAAATTAAATTTGTTACTTTCAAATGCTTCAAATGATTATCCACTTTTTGACAAATTATAAAAAAGTCTATAGAAACAGCTGATAGGAAGCAAATAAACACACCTTTCAGAGTTGTATTGACAAACATAAATTTTTCATATAAAAAATTAATATTGTATAACTCTAAAACATTACGGAAATAGAACAAATTATACGACTTCTTACAAGAATATATTTTTCAAGTAATTA